ATGTTATACAGACTGAATCTGAAGATCAAAAAAAGAAAATTCTAGCATGCATGTTAGTTCTAGCAATCAATTTTTTGTATACTTCTTCGGAAACATTTCCTTTAAAACATATATACTGTAATCTAAAGGATAATAACTATTATGACAATAATGATGTCTCTAAATCTATGATTCTGAATCTTACAAAAATAATTTCTTTTTTATTCCAAATACCTAGTTTTATTTTTTAGAGATATTAATGCATTTAAATCAAGTGAAAAAATTTATTAAATCAGAATTGGAATTAAAATGGGATGATGTCAAATAGAAGGAAATTGGTATCAAATTAGTGAATAAAGTTTAGAATTCCCGAAAAGCATTAACAGCAAGAAAATCAGAAATTCAATTGCCAAACTCCCTTTTAAATTATCATGCAACCTTTTTGACATTTTTAACTAGTTTTTTTGATGGACTTTTAAGTGAAATTTTTAAAAAAAAATTAGTTATCTTAAATATCAATGAAAGCAACGCTAAAAATCTGCAAATATTTTTAATTATGAATATATAACTAGAATCACCACTTTTTTTGTTTCAATTATTATTGGTATAGCATTTCTTTTTCTTGGTGTTTGGTTTAATCAAGTAATGACTAGCTTATCTCAGAAACCTAGACTATTTTCATCATTCTGAAAACTTTTATCAAATCTTAATATTATTAGTCATACAGAACATTATGAAAAAAGACTAGAAAAAAACAGATGATTGAAGTTGAACCAATGAAAAGATTGTGAAAGGATCCTAATATCTAGAATCTAGCAGTCATTGATAATATTGACTTTAAAGAAAAGACTTTTAAATATGATAATATTTTTGATACCACTTGTAATAGTTCTCATACAACTCTTAGAATAGCATTTCAAATCAAAATGCCGATATCTTTAAACGAAAATCCTAATGATGAAAAAACTATTACTTCTCCAACTGGACTTTTTGGTATGAATAATATGACAAGAGATATGTTAGATATATTTGATAAAATCGTGGATGATCTTCTTGATTTTCATACAAATGAAAGTGGATAATTCGTTTATAATAAAAATTTTGATATGATAACTATTCATCGTAAAATTTTGGAAAGAATAGAACATAAATGCTCAGAAGATTCACCAAATATAATAATATTAGATGTAGGAGGAATTCCAAACTCAGATGAAGGAATATTTCAATCTACAGAAATGTATGAAGCAATTTTTAGAAGACTTATAAAGCAACATAAGCAATAACCATATTTGCGTCTAATCCTTAAATAATGGCACACTTCAAAGGATATGTGTAGTGTATTGATCGTTTAATTTTCAAGTTATAGAATTTTTGATCTAGCTAAAGAATTAGGTATAAAATTTTTAGATAAACTGGATAAAGTAGTTAATTATCGTTCAACAGTACGCGTTTTAGAATTAATTTGGAGTGCTGTTATTATTGCTATTCAAATTTATCTAAAAAAATAATAATTTACATAAATATAATGTGATGAATTCAGATAGTGACACAAATACTATTCTAAAAATATTGTATCTTTATTATCAATGGGCATCAATTTTTAAAGTTCATCGTATTGGAATTCAAGTTGGTAATTATCAATTACAAAAGAATGCTTTAGCTAGCTTTTCAGGATTATTTACATCAGCTGACAAATCTAATTATTCTACTTCAGTAGCTTTTTTTCTTGATTTACTTGCTCAATATCCAAAATTAGAAGAAAAGCTTCAATTTGTCACATTAGTCAAAATAGATAATGATGAAAAATGAAAAGGTTATTATTTTGCTTTTAACGAAGCTCTTAAAACATTTGGAGTTAAATTTGTTAAGCAAAATATAATTGGAAATATGATTAATACTGATAATTTAAAATTACAAATTAAAGCTACATAAAGTGAAAGAGATCAGATAGGTATTTTATTATCAGAATATTTGGATGATGCTTGTGGGTCAATTAGAGAATGAGCTATTAATCAACGAAAAGATGCAATGTGAAATTTAGTTAATAAGCTTTTAATAGCATTTAATAGTTCTGATGATTATAATCGTTATCAAAATCCATTGTAGACTAATACTATTATAGAATAATTTACTTTTGATAGTATTATGCATCTTAAAAATTGTTTTCAGATGGAGTTTTACGAATTAAATCAATATTTTTACAAGATGTAATATTAACACAAAAGAGTAATAAGGCTGGAAGAAGAAAGTTAGGTGTTAAGCGATGGAAATCAAATGATCAAAATTTTAAAAATAAAAATACAAAAAAAAGAAAAAATATAGCATTAGAAAATGATTTTATAAATGAATTAGAACCATCACAAAAAAAAAGAGCTTTGAGTTACAAAATCATTTGAAAAACAATTATTAAAACCATTAATTGAATCAGAAACACTTATAAATGAACACATAACTAAAGTTATTCAAGATTTGGATGAAGAATAGAATAAATCACGTGTTAGTCTACAATGGATTTTGATAACGATTATAATCATCAGAACTATTAAATGCTATTAAAAGCTTATTAACTAAATTTCACATTGCATCTTTTCGTTGATTAATAGCTCATTCTCTAATTGACCCACAAGCATCATCCAAATATTCTGATAATAAAATACCTATCTGATCTCTTTCACTTTATGTAGCTTTAATTTGTAATTTTAAATTATCAGTATTAATCATATTTCCAATTATATTTTGCTTAACAAATTTAACTCCAAATGTTTTAAGAGCTTCGTTAAAAGCAAAATAATAACCTTTTCATTTTTCATCATTATCTATTTTGACTAATGTGACAAATTGAAGCTTTTCTTCTAATTTTGGATATTGAGCAAGTAAATCAAGAAAAAAAGCTACTGAAGTAGAATAATTAGATTTGTCAGCTGATGTAAATAATCCTGAAAAGCTAGCTAAAGCATTCTTTTGTAATTGATAATTACCAACTTGAATTCCAATACGATGAACTTTAAAAATTGATGCCCATTGATAATAAAGATACAATATTTTTAGAATAGTATTTGTGTCACTATCTGAATTCATCACATTATATTTATGTAAATTATTATTTTTTTAGATAAATTTGAATAGCAATAATAACAGCACTCCAAATTAATTCTAAAACGCGTACTGTTGAACGATAATTAACTACTTTATCCAGTTTATCTAAAAATTTTATACCTAATTCTTTAGCTAGATCAAAAATTCTATAACTTGAAAATTAAACGATCAATACACTACACATATCCTTTGAAGTGTGCCATTATTTAAGGATTAGACGCAAATATGGTTATTGCTTATGTTGCTTTATAAGTCTTCTAAAAATTGCTTCATACATTTCTGTAGATTGAAATATTCCTTCATCTGAGTTTGGAATTCCTCCTACATCTAATATTATTATATTTGGTGAATCTTCTGAGCATTTATGTTCTATTCTTTCCAAAATTTTACGATGAATAGTTATCATATCAAAATTTTTATTATAAACGAATTATCCACTTTCATTTGTATGAAAATCAAGAAGATCATCCACGATTTTATCAAATATATCTAACATATCTCTTGTCATATTATTCATACCAAAAAGTCCAGTTGGAGAAGTAATAGTTTTTTCATCATTAGGATTTTCGTTTAAAGATATCGGCATTTTGATTTGAAATGCTATTCTAAGAGTTGTATGAGAACTATTACAAGTGGTATCAAAAATATTATCATATTTAAAAGTCTTTTCTTTAAAGTCAATATTATCAATGACTGCTAGATTCTAGATATTAGGATCCTTTCACAATCTTTTCATTGGTTCAACTTCAATCATCTGTTTTTTTCTAGTCTTTTTTCATAATGTTCTGTATGACTAATAATATTAAGATTTGATAAAAGTTTTCAGAATGATGAAAATAGTCTAGGTTTCTGAGATAAGCTAGTCATTACTTGATTAAACCAAACACCAAGAAAAAGAAATGCTATACCAATAATAATTGAAACAAAAAAAGTGGTGATTCTAGTTATATATTCATAATTAAAAATATTTGCAGATTTTTAGCGTTGCTTTCATTGATATTTAAGATAACTAATTTTTTTTTAAAAATTTCACTTAAAAGTCCATCAAAAAAACTAGTTAAAAATGTCAAAAAGGTTGCATGATAATTTAAAAGGGAGTTTGGCAATTGAATTTCTGATTTTCTTGCTGTTAATGCTTTTCGGGAATTCTAAACTTTATTCACTAATTTGATACCAATTTCCTTCTATTTGACATCATCCCATTTTAATTCCAATTCTGATTTAATAAATTTTTTCACTTGATTTAAATGCATTAATATCTCTAAAAAATAAAACTAGGTATTTGGAATAAAAAAGAAATTATTTTTGTAAGATTCAGAATCATAGATTTAGAGACATCATTATTGTCATAATAGTTATTATCCTTTAGATTACAGTATATATGTTTTAAAGGAAATGTTTCCGAAGAAGTATACAAAAAATTGATTGCTAGAACTAACATGCATGCTAGAATTTTCTTTTTTTGATCTTCAGATTCAGTCTGTATAACATGATGAAGCCATTGTGTTAATAATTTCAAACTCTTTGTTGAATCATTAATATACTAATTTTTTTCTATACACGTAACAGTTCGCTTCTCAGATCCAGACCAATGATGTAAATATCCACCCTTAGATTCATAACATTCACAACAAATATATTGCGTAATACTAACTTCATCAAAGTTTCTTTTAGCAATTTCTTGACATTCATACAATGAATTACAAGTAAAGAGTCTAATACAAGGTATTTAAATATTCTTTCTGAAAATATTCCATGAATGTTTCTTATATCCAACCCTGTAACTAAAGAAATAAAAGTTTTTATAGCAAAACAAATAATGACGTCGTTTAACTTCACTTTACTAAATTTTTCGCATTTGTTTTACTTAGAACTATGATTCTTTTAGTCATAATTAAAATGCTACATATACACCCTAACGTTAATCAGTCTGTCTCAAATTCTATTGCCGCATTTATATTAATTTGCCAAATACTAACTAATTGATAAATATTTTTAACATTCTCTGTTCTACTGCAAGTTTGTAATTTACCATTTACTAAATCAATAAGAATACATAATAATAATAAAGTTGTTGATTTTGGTTTACAAATTGGTTTACTTTGTTTTTCGATAGGTATTGGAGGTGAAGTTTTTGTTGGTATTGATGGAAGTGAAATTCCTATTAGTATTGGTGAAGGTAAAATATTTGTTGATATTAGTGAAGGTAGTAGTGGTGACGGTGATGACGGTGATGGTGAAGCTAGAATTTCTGTATCTTCAATATCATCTTGATAATCATCATTTTCGTCACTAACTATAATTTCTTGTTCAAGCTCTGTTTGTGCTTTAATATATTCTTCTTGGTTAAATACAAATAGTTCTAGTTCAGGTAACTCATTAAATGCTTGTTTGTCAAAAGATTTCAACTTGCGTCATAATTATAATCAGAAAAGTCTTCACTTTCTTCAGAGTTATGAAATTCCATTTCATTTAATAATTGGACGTCTCTTTCTGCAAAATTAAAGTTAAAAGAGGAGCTAACACCCTTCATTAATCAAATTTATTCAAAATTTACCAATGTTAGTTCAAAAGATTCTCGTAAAAGAAAGCAATTATGAAAAAAGTAAAACTGGAAATAAAAGTAGTCATCTTTGAATTATAAGCAAACCCATTTGATTAACTATAGTACAATAGGTTAATATTGGTAAAATAAATCTGAAAGATTGTATATTTATGCTTATCTATATGATTTTAGGCATTTTTATTATTAGTCCAGAATGAAGTGAAGGACTATATATGTCTACGCAAAGTGTCCTGATGTCCGCCCACTCAACCTGTGAATAGATGCCATGTGATTGGTTTCTACTGTTTCACAACGAATTATGAAATTGACAAAAATAGAAATACGACATACATGTATTTTATTAAAAAAAATAATAAACAAATTTTAAACTTTTTGAAAAACAAACAAAAAAATTATACTTTTTAATTTATGCGTTCTTTGGTTATTATATATAAATCAAAAAAAATAAACTTCTCATTGCATGACAAAATATACCGCTAAATCTATCATTACTAAATATGCGAAAAAAAAACCCCCTTTTCGTACGATTTGTTTTTTTTTCCTTTGCACCAATGTACTAATTCTGTTCTTGAGGTATTAAAGAAAGTAGGCGCTCTTCTTCGTCTTTTCTTTCTTGAAGTCTTTTGTAAGCCTTTATTCGTTGAAGCTTGTCGAAGGTAAACTGCTTAAAGAAAATATCTCTAAGAGAACAGACCCTCGATACCGCGACAAATGAAAGACCCGCTGCGAATTCTCGACTCCTGAGATCTATTTTAGTTCTTGCCAAAGTGAGTCCCTGACTCTTGTAAACTGTTATTGCCTACACAAGACATATTGGAATTTGAAGCCGAGAACAAGCCGTTCTAGATTTAGATTCCCAGATGCGTTTAATAGGTATGATCAGAATAACGTTGACATCTCCAATTTTTGTGATAGTGGGTCCTTTGTAATGATCAAACTTGATGAAAACTGCTGTAGGAAGTGAAGATGGTCTCTGTTCCTCAAATAGAATGTCTTGTACGGTTTTCATTGCACTGTTAACTAAATTGGCTTCAGTCCATAAATTTGCCGTGAGCATTACGCGAGTCCCTTTTGCCAGTAATAGTTGAACCTCAAGTCCCTTCGCCACATCAGAGTCAGCTTTTTTGCCTCGCTTCCTCCATTATGTATCGCTGTAATCTTTGCTACTGGTTTGTTCAACGAGCTGAACATCTGTCTACATCATCCCACTTTGTAAGGATAAAGATGGAATCCGAAAACTGATCCTGTTCGGTCTTGTTGAGTTTTCCTTCAAATCTTGTACTGAGTTTTTTCCAATCATCAAGACTGCATTCACCCTCTCTCATTCTTAGAAGTAAGTCTCTAAAGGTCTGCTGTTCTTCAGAGTCACCTGATTGCCTTTGAACCACATCAAGTTTGTATGCTTCTCTAAATTGTTTGTATGATGCAATGCCATTATTAGAAATAGGATCATGCGACATACGGTTAGCATACATTGAAAGGTCGAGCACTGGTGGAAGCTGCCCGAAATCACCAAGCATTATCATAGACTAACCTCTAAAAGGTTCATCCTTGCTTTCTGGAAATGCTTGCCTCAACCTTATGTCAATTAAACCAATTATTCACCGCCCAACCATGCTTTTTTCGTCGATAATGAGGTAGGTTATGTTTTGTAACCTTTTTTGCAGTTGTTTCAGTCGTTTACCATCTAGATCATAATTATTTTTATTCATTATTGGTATAGAAAGCGTCGAATGAATCATCGCACCATTGATATTGAAGGCTGCGACTCCTGTAGATGCAATCACAAGTGCCGGATATTTAGATCCACTACCTACCATTGCGCGAAGTCTTACTCAAATTGCTTTAATGAAGTAAGAATTTTTGGTACCCGCGGTTCCCATTATTATGATTCTTAATGCTTCTACCTGAATACCATTTAGGATTTTGTTGTAGTGTGATTCTATACGCTCAAAAACTTTTTTTTGATTCTCATTTAGTGTTTGAGGATCAACAAAATCAGTATCATCTTTTCTAATATTATTTCTGTCATTACTTGAAGCTTGCTGCACAAAATTGCTAACGCTTGTTATGTCAATGTTGGAATAATGTTGTTGAGCGTCATTAATCCAATTGTGATTCTGATCCATATCTCAAGATTCTAGATCAGATGAAGACAATATTCTCGTATTTGGTTCCATCTCGGCAAGTTGCATCTAATCGAACCGAAATTCCTCCTCCTCTTCGTCTTTGATCTCTTCTTGGCTTTCGTCATCATTTAATTTGTCTTCTTCATCTTCAGGCTGACCAAGCATGTCAGTTGGATCATTGTTGATTGTATCAACATGTTGGCTATAAAGTGTTGACCAAGCGAAATTATTATTTTTAGTCAGTTGTTTAAGGCTTTGATGCTTAACGTAAAGAATGACCTTTACTCGACAGAACTCCTCCCACTGTTCACCATTACGAAGAGGTGATGGTCGTGGCCATATATGTATGATGTTTTCTTTCTTGCATATTTTTCATTTTTCACCAACATTTTTATGTGTTAAATATAATTTAAAAAATGAAAATTTTTCAAGCTCCTTAAGTTGATTCCAGTATTTGTTGATAGCGATTTTGCCATACGACCTGCATTTCTGATATTGGTGAAACCTTCTTCATTATCTCTGCTACCTGTGCCACAAATCCATCTAGCAGCTTCATCCTTAAGATTTAATGAAACAAATGTACGATTTGAATGGTAAAGAGGAATGCGAAGAAGTAGGTGACAGGTTTCTTGAGCCGAGATGTCTTGTTCTGAAATGCTATTAAGAAGAAGTTTTTGGATCGATTCAAGCGAAGCTTTTTCAGGATTGCTGTTGTTAAGGATCTGACTAAATATCTCTGTAAAAGCCATTAACCGAGGTTCTGCCTTGCTGGCATATTTAGAAATATAATGTAAGGCCGCGTAGATGCTGAGAACTGGCTTTAGGTCGACATTAGCACACTAACCTTGCAATTGGAGTCAGCTGTGCAGATTAAGAATTGGATCGTTTCTCGCTGTAACGAGCTTGGGCTGCCCATTATTATCGTCGCGTATGAATGTACTGTCGCTGTGATCCATAGGATATCCAAATCTGCACTTTTGTTGACACGTTCTTCTATCGACTCTAAGACAATATGAAGGGCTACAACGTGTATGTCGCTGTAGTTTATTGATCAGTTCAATATAATCTTATGAACTGTCGTCTATTTCATTACCACGTTTTTGGCATGGGTGTTGTTTTGGTATAGCTGCGTTGATTCCTGGATTGACTGTAGTAACTATTGAATCTATATATCGTATTATATTGTCCATTTCTCCTTCGTTTTCTTTTAATTGCTTCCAATTGATTACAGGCGCGTTCTGTACCTTTCCTATACCATGCACATGTACGCTCCCCCAATGCTACCACTCATATTGGAACTACCAATCTTTCAGATTCCATCGAGATACTAACACATCATGGAAGAATGTTTCAAAACGTTTATCAAAAAACCAAGAGGCAACATGTAGATTATTTATAATGTTCTTTATACGACGCTTTGCAAAATCCGAATCTTCCCCGTCATCTGGCATTAATTGATGGAGTTCAGGTCAGTGAAAATTGGCCGCGCTAAAAGTGAAAAATATCGGTCCTTGATGACCCATCTGCTTAACCATATCTGATAACTCGTAACGTCTAGCCATCCAAAACTGTCTTGAACCACGTAACCCTTCCCATATCTCATTATCCGGTTTGCTATTCAATTGTTTCCGTTGCTAATCATTTCCTGGATGTCTACAATATCAAGTTGCCCTTCGCTTAAGTGCTGACTAACGTAAAACTTTCCTTCTTGTAAAGCCCTCCATCTCATTGTAGAGTTCAAAGCAAAATACCTCTACCTAGGATATCTTGCAAACCTTCCGTCTTTATACCACAACAAATGCTTAAAATATTCTGCCAGTTTGATGTCTCAAGGCCGTTCAAAACAAAGATCACCACATCCGTATGAATAAAGGGTTGGAAATGCTCTTGCCATATATCTGGGTGTACTAAATTCATTGACAGAAATGCCTTCGATCTCTGGCCAAATCAAAGGAGAATCGTTGCTTTGCATACGGTTAAGCGTATCGTTAATGGCATCATCTTCACGCTGTGTTGGAGGCAGAGATAATACGAACGAACGTGATATTTGTTTGTTTTCATTTTCTTCGTCATCTGATATATCATCTGTTGTTTCATCAGGAACCTGCTTAAGCTGACTACTGATAGATCTGTTTACGGGTAATGATTGGATAATTTTGTTGTCAATGATTATGTCTTTATAGTAAATGTTATTTTCTTTTAACCAAAATAGGACTCTAGCAATTTTTTCGCGACGTACAATGAAATCCCTGAAACCTGCTGGATCATTTGCTGACTGCCGTCACACCAAGAGTATTTCTAATGATGATAGATATCGCGAAAGCCAATTTGTGAATTCTTGTATGTCTTGGGGGAAGTTTATGACATTTCTCCTTTAGGCATTTTGACTTCCTTAGAGTCGATATACTGACATTACCATGAAAACTTAGACGATTAATATCTCTTCGATCTCTGTAAGACCTTTTAATTCTTCCGGTACGTCTCCAGGATTCATATTGTTTTCGCCTGAAAACTTCTTTGGTGATTTCTTTTCTGTGTAGCAACACTAGCACATTTGCTTGACAATCGTCATTGACAGAATTCGCTTATTGCATACGGGACAAAATTTATACCTAATGTTAGCTATTTTATTGCGGAATTTCTGCAATAAACTATGGTCTTCTTC